CTGCCCTTCACACACGTTGATGAGTGTTTGGAAGTCAACATTCACAAAGAAGTCCTGCGCAGAACAAATAAAAGGATAAGTAGAAACATGAAGCTCTTTGGGAGTCGGCGTTACGATGGAAATATCAATTTATTAAGTTAATAGTAATTCTGTTACCCAGCTTTGATCAGGATAGAAGCAAAAAGAGTGAAGCTGGTCACAATAGGAAGAAATGTACTAGAAGACGTTGTATCCTGCTATCTTGGGAGTATAATTGACAGCGAAGGAGGAAGAGGTGCCGAATTAAAGTTGCGCATCGGAAAGGCACAGGCTGCTTTCATATCTTTGAATAGGATTTAGAGAACCAGGGATATCTTACTTTGAACAAAGCTGAAGAATTTAAACCCAAATGTGAAGTCAGTCTTGTTGTATCAAAGTGAGACATGGAATGCATCTCAGACTTACATAAAATAAAAAGGATCCACGTTTTCATGAACAAGTTTCTTAGGAAGTTACTGAGGATCAGGTGGACAGACAGGGTCACTAACGAGGAAGTGTTAAGGAGAACAAGACGGAACCCAGTCAGAGATGAGGTAGGAAGAAGGCAGTGCGACTATGTATTGGACATACTTTCAGGAAGTCAGGCAACTGCATAGCAAAGAAACTATTGGATTGGAATCTACGAAGTAAAAGATCAAAGGGAATACCACGCGGAACCTGGAGAAGAGTCACAGAAATTGATGTACAGAATGGTAGGCAGACATGGAATAAAATGAAAAGGCTGGCCTGGGATATGGAAATGTGAAAAGTGTCTGTTCGTGGCCTATATCCTGGGCCAGGGTGAGAAAGGAAATGATGATGATGAATAGGCTGTCGCTTTATTTCAAGTGAGACAATCCATTGGAAACGGCTGAAAGCAGTTCTGAATTATATGCGGAGGAATATAATTTCCTTCTATATCATAGACACTCCATCCCCCCTCTCCCCCCCCCCCTCTCTCTCTCTCTCTCTCTCTCTCTCTCTCTCTCTCTCTCTCTACCTATCTATCATTAATTGTTCGTCGCTATAAATAATCGATGTTGTGTTGACGTGCTTGTCTTTATTTTTTTTAAAACAAACAACTAAACTAGACAAAAACAAAAACAAAAAACAACAACGATAAAACCAACAACAAACCTAAAGCTCACAAGAAAAGTGAGAGGAAGAGAAGTAGGAGACCTACCACAGTTTGGCTTGGGTTGTTGATAAAGTCGGCGACTTCGAAGCCGCTGCACGTTGGCTTGGAGGCGCCCTGGATGAAGGCCAAGCTCAGCTCGTCAGAGAAGCCCATAGCCCTACGTGCAGTCAGAAACTCCTCCTGGGTGACACAGCCGTCCTTGTTGGCGTCGTAGTTATTGATGATGGATTGTATCTGCAGGGACGGAGGGAAGGGTGTTACGTGTATGTGTGTGTGTGTGGTTGGGGGGGGGTACAGAATTCAATGGTCGATGTTGTTTAGTATTTAGTGTGTGTGTGTGTGTGTGTGTGTGTGTGTGTGTGTGTGTGTGTGTGTGTGTGTGTGTGTGTTGAGAGTGGGGGTGGGAGGGGGGGGGGTTGCACCACAGAGTATGTGAGGTGGAGGGGGGGAGGAAGGTTAGGTTACAGAGTAAGCGACCTGGGAAATGTTTCCAGGGCCAGGTCAACAGCTTGAGATCTCCATCTCATAATCTTGCCCAGAATAATATCGTTGCACTGTCATCCTATGCTGAATATATTACAATGTATGGACAAGATGTTAATGTTGAGCCCATATTATTTCAGGGCCGTGTAGAAGATAATAAATGGAGCTCCCACTCTTGTTTTCTTGTATATTTTAAGCAATGTTTTGGAGGCAAACGGAGTGCTAAATTAATACTTGACCCTACAATCTCTGACACCCTGACCATTGACCCTACACACCTGCTCAATGTTTGTAACATTGCCGTCTCCGTTCGTGTCCAGGTTATTGATTGCGTTCAGTATGAGGTCACCCACGCTAGAGCTGCTGATCCCAGCCGGCCTGCCAGCACACGCTGAGGTCAGTGTCGGACATCCGACTTTGGGTTGCGGCTGTGGCTGTGGTTGTGGTTGTGGCTGTTGAACAGGGGCTGGTTTTGTGGTCACAGGGGAACAAGGAGCGTAAGGATTTTGGAAATGGCCAGGTTGTTGGAAGAACCCGTGGCTGTTTGGCCACTGTCTGCCAAAATTCCCTCCCTCAGATCCGCCAACAGGTCCACTCCGAGGTCCACCAAAAGGTCCATCCCCCCATTTTTGGCCCATGCACGGGGCGACCACTAACAGGAGGGCGGAGCAAAGTAGGCGGAACTGCAAAGAGGGAGAAATATGAGAGGTTGTTCAAAATGAGTATCACGAAAAAGCATTGGAATGAAACAGTGTTCTACAGGAAATCAAGGGGAATAATATTGGAGATACATGCAGCTGAAACAAACTTGTTAGCACTGGAGGGTGGGCAAAAATGAGAAATGATACATTCCAACATTTGAGGAATCTAAGAGGCAGGCTAAGCAGCAGAATATTTAGCGTATTGTATAACGTTTGTGGCGTAAAATTAACTGTGGATTGCAGACCGTAGAACCACAAAAGAACAGATCATGTAGAAGGAACATTTTAAAAAGAAACCATTGTGGTGTGAGTGTGAATTTAATGGCACGGTGTCTGCATTGAGTGACCAATATTACAGCAACGTAAGTGGCGTCTTTGGTGCACCGGTTAGGTGCTTGACAGTCGAATGCAGAAGGTCCAAGTTCGATTCCAGTGTGGGGTGAATTTTTCTCGAGTGTCCTGGTCTTTCTGATGGGACGTTGTATCCCTCTCAACCCGAGTTGACCTTGACAGGCAGGGTAGAGACTCGCCTCTGCCGAGTAAAGGGTCGCGCACTAGATTGGTATTGTTTCGCCTGGAATCGTGTAACTCCGTCTGACACAGCATGGGGTGGAAAATCATTTAGGCTTTAATAGCATCTTCTGGGCTAGATCCCATTCTTGGGCAAGCTTTCTGTCCTCCTTGTATTACAAAACCCCTGTGCCATCGTGGAACGAGGGAATTTTTAGATAAGGCTCTTTCCCTTTAAGCGATGCTGCACTTGGTCAGATTCTTCATGAACATACAGTTTTTACATTGAGCTTTTTGTTTTTGTGTAAATAGAAAAGAGATTACATGTATGTAACTCCCGATATTGGCCGTGCTCTTATTTAAATCAAGTCTGCGAAGTCCAGGTTTCAAGTCCAGCTTGTAGAAGAAAAGAACAAAACTTAATCACGTAGTCTAACATTCAACTCACCATTGTAAAGATTCTATAATTCGCTGCTGTTTTTCACTACAGGAGGACGGCGGTGGTCAAGGAAGAGGAATGCCGGTGTGAGTACGAATAAAGACCCCCCTCTTCACTACGATATTTATACAATCATGTACCAAACTTTGCAGGTCTAAGATAATCGATCATAAATGAAGAATCATTACCTTTTGCTACCGGACAACAGCAGGCTCTGTTCTCATGTACTCCTGACAGTCAATAAAAATAACCAGAAAACAAAACAAAACTGTGTCGCCCGTTCCATTTTATCTTTAGTTCGTGAGCAACACTGTTCTAATTTACGGTGTCGTCCGCTCCATAGTGCAATAATCTACGCCTAAGATTAAGATCCATGTGCTTTGGGGTAAGAAAAATTAGGGATCTTAGGCGAACGAGATCTTAGCCAATTCATCAGTGGGAAGAATCCACGGCGACTCTTGGTCAGACCTACAATCGATAAAATTGATAGTCTCTCCTTACTTTGAAATTAACTGACATAATTAGAGATCTTTTCAGAAGTGATTTTTTGGTCGATATGGGTTTACCGCTTTCAATTACATTTTGTAATTGCTCTCGGGTTCGAATCCTGATACCCGTAGTAACGGAAAAAATTTTTCTCTAAGATTTTCTCATTCCACCCCATTCCCTGTCCTCTAACAATGTGCCGCCGTCTGCTTTCGTCTCCAATTTTTATCCCCAAACCTCTCACCTCCTTGGCCACCTCCTCTGGACTCTTTCTGCAGCCTTTCTACTGCGACTCCTTGGCGCCTTCTTAGTGCTGCCTTTCAGCCACACCCTTGATCTTATGGTAGGTAAAATCTAACACCTAGCGTTTTTGGATAAGGGCAAAACAAATCTCCGGGGTATTGTGTACAAGTTGCGCTCGTTAAAGATCCCTTGGTGATCCAAAATCGATTAGAATAGGCTTCGGCCGCCACCGGGGCAAAATTCAACATTTCCTACCTACTGAAAATGTTTAATGTTCCCTGCGCTCAACTGATCTACGAATTGCGAGCACCGTTAAACACTGACCAAAAATGTTTATAAAAAAAAATAAAAAAATTAAAGGACAGTCTCTGAGTATGAGCGCCAGTCTGTCTAGCTAATCCGGGCGCAGGCGTAAATAAAAGACAACTGCACCAACAAAAGCATCATCGAGTTGGAAGTTAAATGTGATCCAGTCTAAAGTGACCTTGTAAGGACCTTTCAATTAATTCGTGGACAACAAAATTGTATAGACTAAGCATTCGAGAGTTCAGCACGTCATTGTTATGTTTGGGAGGGGTAGACTTGATTTCCCTGAAAGTCAAAAGGGAATACATTGAGGTCATTTCTCTTCTTTGCGTCTTGGCATTTTAGACAAACTATCTAAGTGCATCTTATCTATATTTAGCGTGTGGCTGATATAACTTCATCTTATTCAATTTTGCAGTAGCGCCTGTCTCATCTCCTGCACTGTTTCGTGTTTAGGGCTTCTATGTCGTTATTCAGTTGGACACACTTAGGATAGGTGTCCCTGCGAGGGAAACAAAACTCTACGTTGTATTTGACAAATTGTTTCATTTTGTTTGTTTGTTTGATTGTTTATTTGTCTGTTTGTTTGTTTGTTTGTTATTTGTTTGTGTGTTTGTTTGTTCTGACCTTCTTTGGGGTTCTTGTATTCATCAGGTCTATGTTTCTTCAGACAGCACATCAACAAACTGTGAATATAAAGCGTTTCGTGCAGGTAGTCTATATTTTGGGTTCTTTTTTTTAAAAAGCATATTGGGATTTACATATTTTGTTTAATGGAATCATACATCTTTCTTGGGTCTCCCCCTCCCTTCACCCCCCTTACGTCTGTGGAAAAGTAATTTCCCCCTTAAAAAAAAAAAATTCTCTCAAATCGAGTACGTTCCATAGCAAAGAAGTACAACACCACAAGATATTCACTCAGCCGAAAAAGTGTCCGCAAAACCCCGCGCATTGCTTCAGATGGCGCTACAGTCGCTGTTTTGAGGCTCTCTTTTGTTTCTCAAGAAGCGGAATAGGAATAGCACCCCCCCCCCTAGCACCCCCCCCCCTTTGCACGCGCAGATTGACTTCTGTTCATCGGCCTTTACTCGGCTGTTTGGGTTCGCTCAGGGCGGAGTTTTGGCTTTGTTAAATTTCAATGACCTCTCGCCTTTCATTTAAAAGTCAAATTAAACGTCGGATACAGTTGTCCCATTCAACTGAAAATTAAGAGGTTTTTGGTCAGCGTAACCATAAAAGGACGTTCTTCCGAAACTTGAATTCTGATATATTTTTTAAAAAAACTAATTTTAGTTCCACTTTTTTTTCACACAAGTACGGTAAATGTTCGCAAAGTGTGCGCTTTTTCGAGGAGGTCGCCACAGGGTTTTGAGGACGCTTTATTAATAGGCTCAAAGAGAGGAGTAAACCATCTTGTTGTGTACGATCTCTGACCAAACTTCGTGACGTAAGCCAAATCAGCCTTCAGGGAGACACGTATTGCACCTGAACAAACAAATCGCGTATTGACATGTGTAAAAACCTCTTACTGCTTGGGAAAACTCTTTAAAAAAAATTATATTGAAAACAATCAAATAAAGATAGGTTACACGAAACCCTGGAACACGAAAAGAAACTAAATCTTGATTAATTAGCATAATAGTGCAATTCTTCTAATAGATCTAGACCTACACAACTAGGATAAATGTAGCTCATTCAGGTACAAAAGCAATAGCACGTGTGCAAACACCTCTTCGTCATTTCCGTGAATAAAAAAAGCAAAAGGTGTATTATGACGTTATGGACGAGTACGAATACAGGATATCAATCCTTATATCAGTATATTATACAGGCTCTCACTTTATGGGATAGATAGATAGATAGATATTGAGGGAGTGAGTGAGAGAGAGAGAAAGAGAGAGACTGGGAGAGAGAGAGAGAGAGAGAGAGAGAGAGAGAGAGAGAGAGAGAGAGAGAGAGAGAGAGAGAGAGAGAGAGGGGGGGGGGGGGTCGGGGGAAGGGGGTGCACACTCACTTACGTTCCCAAAATATCGAACGAGTGACATTTTTTTTACGGAGCAGCGCTTGAGAACAGTGTCATCTGTTCACAAACTAATAATATAGAACGGTTGGGACATTATGTGGGAACAGTCCCATTCCCAAATTATAAATAATCAAAAGAGCGGGCGACACAATAAACAAGAACAGTGCCCTCTTTCCGCAAACTGATACCGTACCACATCAGTCTCCGTGTGACCCCGGCACGCTTAAAATCCGCCTTTTATTAGAAAATATCATGTTTACTACGCGCAAGTCATTCACATGAACCCAATCTGAAGGACTGTATTCGGCTAAAATCCTAATTTCAAATAAGAAATTGTCAAACAAAAACCCGGGCGCATGGAACTATGAGCAACAAAGGAGCGAAAAATTGCGATCATTGTACTGCTCGTCGTATCAAACATCGTCCATTCTCATGAATGAGATCACATTTTTTATATACATTTTGACGAGTGGGTACAATATTTGCCCCAAACAGGACCTCGCCAAGATATGAACTCGTTGACCTGTTTATTTCCCCCAAATATTGCACTCTCATTTAAGTCTACCACCGGAACTTACATTACACCCAGGGTGGGCAGGCAGGACCTACAAGGTCATATCAGACGGGGTCCCATCGAGTTGTGAACTCATCTGTGCCCTAACCATCGCAATTGACTTTCAGCTCTTCGTTTTGTTTTGAGAAGAGTTTTACGGCGCCCGCAAGGTCATAATAATATGAGTTCGCGGGACTAAGTTGGATCTTTCAGCTCTGCTCCCGAATTTGCTTGACAATCTGGCGCCCGTTCTCGGGGACTCGGGCGCACATCGAAGATACCTTAGTGGTCCAAAGATCGACAGGAGTAGGCTTCGGCCGACACACGGACAAAATCCCAAATTCATTTCTACCAAACTAAAAATGATTAATGTGTCAGACCTTATACAGTTGCAAGCGCAGTAAAACACTTACAAAAACAAAACAAAACAAAGAAAACAAAACAAGAACAAAACAACAAACAAACAAAAAAGATTGAAAGCCATCTTGAACATGGGAAGGGGAGGAACAATGGGATCAACTTAGCTAGATCTTTAGATTCAAGATTGGATATTTTGTCAAAATAGCATGCCTCATCAAACTAAGAAGACTCTTTCGTGAATGGTCGAAAAGATAAACCACTTATGATCGTCGTAACTTTTAACGAAAAAAAAGACCTGTTATTGCCTAAGGGTCACGTTAGTTCATTACAAAGAAAGGGGAGACATTTTACCGATTGTAGGCCTGGCCATGTTTCAACATGGATTCTTACATCTGATGATTTTGTGAAAATCCTTCTCGCAATATTATAGACGCCACATTTTCCTTGCTCCCAAACAGCAGCGTCTTTGATGGAGACGACTCTTTAATAAGGACGGGGTGACACAGAATGTGTGAGAACAGCGCCATTCACAAGCTTACAATATTGACCAGGCGACACACTTTTTCGTGTGAACTGTCCCGGGTACGGTTTATAAACTAATAATAATACGGAACGGTGTGACACAGAAAATGAGAACATCACCATCTGTTGCGACCCTTTAACAGAAGGTTAAGGATTTGCTCTTTGTAATATGATGAATTTAGACATGATAAGTTTGGTACATGGTTGTATAAATACCGCAGGGAAGTGGGGGGTCTTCATTCCCACCTGCTCTCCTCTTCCATGACCCTTGTGGTGAAAAATGACGGGGAATTACAGAACCTTCACAATGGTGAGTGGAATGTTAGACTACGAGATAAAGTTTTTTTTTTTTCTCTACGAGCTAAGCCTACAATCTGGATATTGAAGTTTGATTTCAATAAGTACTTTGATGTTTGATTAAAAGTGCTTGCCCAATATTGGATTCGTGAAATCTCTTTTTTTTGTCTTTACACAAAGAAATTCAGTGTGAATGTTGTAGGTTCTGTCGTTTGCAGAGCCGCCCGATGCAATACCCTCTGAAAAGAAAGAGCCTTATCCTGAAATTCCCTCGTTCCACGATGCCAGGAGTGTTTAGTTATACGAGGAGGAGAGAAAACTTGCTAACCATGGGATCCAGCCCGAAGATGTTACAGGAGACGTTATGTTTTCCCACTCTACGCTGTCCAGAAAGGAACAACATTGATCTGTGTTAAACTCGAGGCTACTTTAGAACATGTCAGTTTTTAAACTACCCTACCTTCTACATAACAGCCCCACTTGTTTTAAGTGGAGATGTTTATAATCGTGGAAAGGGGGGGGGGGGGGTGGCAGGTGTTTGAAAGAATCTGTGCTTCCACCACCTCGATCTTATTCAGTTGCTGCTTAGAACAAGGTGAGAAAGCCCAGTGCCACATAGATAACGAACACCTTGCTTAGGGCTCTGACTGTTTCACAATGCAAAAATATAGGATGCTTTACCTTTCCAAAGCGTTTAAAAATTTAATTTTGAATAACTTGTCACATGTGTTTCTTTTCGCAGTTTCATCTGCTTTGCTCCGTCCTTTTGTTTGTGGTCGCCCCGTGCACGTGCCTTCTGTCGGGTGGACCTTTTAACGGACCAAAGAGTGGACGTTTGGGTGGACCTAAGAGTGGAGATTTTGGCCGACCCATAAGTCGACCTTTTGGCGGACAGAAGAAAGGACCTTTTGGCCGACCTACGGGAGGGAATTTTGGGGGACATTGGCCAAACAGCCACGGGCTCTTCCAACATCCTGGCCTTTTCCAAAATCCTTACGCTCCTAGCTCCCCCGGGGTCGCACAACCAACCCCTGTTCAACAGCCACAGCCACAGCCACAGCCACAGCCACAGCCCAAAGCCGGATGTCCGACACTGACCTCAGCGTGCGCGGCCAGGCCAGCAGGAATCAGCGACTCTAGCGTGGGCGACCTTATTGAGAACGTGATAAAAAACCTGGACACGAATGGAGACGGTAGTATTACCGTAGCTGAGCAGGTCAGTTTGTCAACGATCGGGGGGGGGGGGGGGGGGGG